ACTGTTTATTTCTTCCAGTGTATTATTTATTTCAGATATTGCATTCTTTATTTCAGACTGGTTCTCTTTTATGGTTTCTGTCCTTTTTCATGCTGTTGAGTATCCTCATAATCATTACTTTAAACTCTCTATCTGATAAATTGCTTGCCTCCCTTTCATCTAGTTCTTTTGGAGGATTCTCTTGTTCTTTTACTTGAGGTTGTTTCTTTGTCTTCTCTTTTTGGCTGCTTCTTTGTATTTCCCACCTTACTTGTTAAACGAATCAATGATCTAGCCTTAAGCTATAATCAGCAGCCCTGCTTAAGCTCCACAGGGTTGGGCAGAGTAATTCCTGTGGGTGGAGCTATTGCTTTCCCTCAGGCTGGTGCCATTAGCAGAGGAGTGCCTGAGAAAGATGGCTCCTGCGATACAGGGAATGACTTGGCACAAGAATCCTGGTAGCTGTTCCTTCGATTCTCTCCCCAGAGCCACCAACCCCAGACTCTCCTCAGGCATCTCTAGTCCACTGTCCCTTCCTCTGCCAGAGCCCAGGGTAAGTGGCTGCAAATGAAATTTTGTGTGTTGGCCCTTTAAGAGGCTCACTGCATCTCCAGCCATCTCTCCCTGGCAGACAGACACCCTGCTGCTTTTCACAACTGGATGGTACCTAGGTTCCTTTCTGGCTCTGATGCTCTAGGCTGGGGAGCCCAACTTGGGGTTTAGACCTGATACCTCTCAAGAGGAACCCCTGACCTCTGAAATATCCCTCTGGCACTTCAGTTGCCACCTGTGGGAGCTCAGCCAGCCCTCTCATGCCTTCTCCACACTTTCTACCAGTCTTGTTTGGTGATGTGGTTTCTTCTGTCTGTCCTTCGTTATAAGACTTCTCTCCAGCTAGTTAGCGTTCAGTAGGTTATTTGGGATGATTTCTCTACAATTTAGTTGCAAATCCAGATTGGTCCTACGAGGAGGTGAGTGTAGCTTCAACTTACTCTTCGGACACCTTGGATCCCTGAGGTTGCCTTTTAAAAAGAGTTCTCTACTATTTCTAAAATCTACCAGAAAAAAAAAAACACGTGGGTGAAAATAGTTTGTTTTGTTTATTTATAATATTTTCAGGAGTTACTGATTTTGTATGTCTCATTCTTGTATCAAAGGGGTTGTTTTTGTTTTAATCATGTGAATGGCATGCCTATCAGTCTAGCACAGGTGTGATTTCCTGTTCAGTTTAAAGTGTAAATGAAATATACTTGATTTATGAACTCCAGGAAGATTACATTTAAAAATTATTCTTTTGCAGTTTATTAAAATAACAGTTGCCCTGTTTCTCAGAGATACTGTTTGACTCCACTCATTGATAATGAAAATGTTAAATTTACTTGTTAGACAATTTAAATTATTACTATGATAATGAAATATGCAGATATTATGTTTGCATAATATCTAATACAATTTTAAATGTAAAATATTGTGGGATTGTACACATTATTTTTAATCAAATGTCTACCTTGAAATCTCTAATTAAATGAATTCTGGATGAAGACACAGGTAGTTAAGATACTAAAACAATGCACATTTATTAAACAGTCATGGGGATATAAAATATAACATAGGAAATATAGTCAACAATATTGCAATAACTATATATAGTTCCAGGTGGGTAATGGAAATATCAGGGCACACTTCATAAAGTATATGATAGTCTAACCACTGTACTGCTAATCTGAAATCAATATAAAATAATATTGAAATTAAACTGTAATTGAAAAATAAAACAATGCACATTTTTACAGCAACTGAGTATAAATTCCCCAACAGGAATTTGGGAACTTTTGTTGTCATTGTTTAAAGTACTGTCATGATGCAGTGCTTCCATTGGTATTTTCTTTCACTTTTTCAACAAATCTCTCTTGCACACCTACATCATCTAGATATTCCACCAGACAACTGGGGGAGCTCATGATTGAGTGGAAGCACCAGACACTAACAAATCATTATAAAGCACAGAATACTGAAGAGGGTATGTACAAGTAAGTGGAAGAGGATAGAAGGGAGCAGCCCAACCTGCCTGTAAAGGAGGGAGCCTGGGAAGTCTCCTGGAAGAGGAGATGCCCAGTGTAGGAGGAATGCAATGAGAGGTAAAAGTTAGTATCTGGGAAAGTAGGGACATGATGGGGAGGGATAATGTTTCAGTCAAAAGAGATCATATGAGCAAAGTCATAAAAGAAAAAAAATACTGTGTTTATTCACTAACAAGTGGCTTAGTGCCCCAGAGGCAGCAGAATTTGAATCCTGCTCTCTGCTATTTGCTAATTTTGTGATCTTGGGCACATCAATTAACCTCTCTGTGACTCTGTTTCTTCAGCTCTAAAGTGGGGATGATAATAATACCTACTTCATAGTATCGTTGTGAAGATTAACATTACTATATGTGAAACACTTATCACTATGTTGATCATGTTGTGAGAATGATATAGATGCTAGCACTTCTTGTTGTGCATATAGTGAGTGACTGAAAGTGTGAAGTAATCCGGCTGGAAGATTGGGTAACAGTCAAACCTTGGAGGTTTTTGTCTGCCAAAAGGAGCTTGGGTTCACATTATGAGTAATAGGGTGTCGAGAAAATATTTTAAGCAGGAAATTACATGCAAGAGTGTGGTTTTGCTACATCACTTTGGTTTCGTAGAAGATAGAACTGTAGGGAATGGACACAGACCAATCAATAAGTTGTTGCATTAATGGAGGCCTGAAATAAGATAATAATGCAGGGATGGACAGAGAGAGTGATTAAATAAATATGTAAGAGGTTAAATCCGCAGTGCTTTTTGACTTGGTATGATGGATTATATAGAGGGAAGAGAGGGGCTTCAGTTACAAAGACATTAAAAAATCAATTCAAAATTTTAAGTAAGGCTGATGAGAAAATAATATCATATGCATTGACAGCTGAGTATCTTTAAAGAAACAAACTGCTTTATTTTTTTGTTACAACCTAGAAGCAAGATTAGCAATATTACTATGGCCTAGCTAAGAATGACACTTTTTATTAACATATTCAAATCCATTTTAATTGGTAATGATTTTGCAGATTTGTATAAATCGTAGATAATAATAGATCAAAGATCTGGATCCATTCTTAATCCCAAATATGTGTCTGACAGCCTTCCTGATAATTTCTGTTGCTACGATTGATTTGTTTCATTGATCTTACTGCTTGGTGTCATTTTGCATTGCAGTCTCCCCTCACTATTGGTTTAAAATCGCAGATCACTGTGTTCACTTGCCTATTGCACTGCAAAACTCTTTTCAGACAATAATCGCCCATTTGGCTTGTGTCAGATAATTTTACACTATGTTTCCATGAACAGGTGTGCATGCAAATTTTTAATGCATATTTTGAATTCCATAACATAGTGAATCACTTTGAGAAATCTGCTTTTTTGTGGTTGTTATACAAAATCACTTTGCTTATTTGAAGAAGAAAATCTAATGGATCTCTATATTTAAACTAAATCTGCCATTCGATGATCAAGCACAAAAGGAATACCTGGCCCAGCAGAGGCCTCCGGGACTTGGCTATAGCAATATGGCCAACTTTTTACCTCCAAAAATTAAGTGAAGTGTGTTGCAGGTGCTTCCCCCCCCCCCCGCCCGCTTAGGTACAGACAGTTTTTGAGTGCTTTCCTTGGTCCTCACCCTCAATGATTCCTGCTGGCAGGTGGCTTCCTCTGAAGCAACCTTCTTTTGTGTCCTCTTTTACTAGGCAAGGATCAGGGTGTGTATGCTCCTTGATTGCTAAAACTGCATCCTGGTCCTCATTCCTTTCTGAGGTTCAAGGAAGAGAAGTGTCCTTCAGAATTGGCCTCCTTGAGACTTGGATTCTTTCCCTCCTAAGACCATAGAGGTGTTTTGTTTTGTTTTCCAGAAAGCACAACCCTCTGTTTTGTCTCCTTTTACAAAATTCACTTTTTATGTCGCTTGTAGGCAGTTTTAGCCACTCTTTTAAAGAGTCACAAAGTGCCTTGAATTTTTGGGAATCTGAAATGCAGTTTGGCCTTTTCAACCTCTTTAAATTCTTTCATCATATGTATTTTGGCTCCTGGACATCTCTTGCTGACTTTACATTATCCTCATTATAGTGGTTACAGTTGTACCTTTTTACCTTCTATTTTATAAACCAGTGACCCAATAGTTCATGGACTACATAATAGATGCTGTGCTATGATCTCTGCCTGCTATTATAGTTTATAAGAGTCATTAAAAACTGAATGATATATAAGGTGAGGAGCTGGGGAAAACCTGCCCAGAGAAGTCAGCTCAGAATGGAGATGAATCACAATGTGGGCATTTTAATTGGCCAGTGCCAGTGCCATTTTGGTTGTCACATGTTTTTACTGTCGTGCTTGCTTGTACTCATAGCTTAGGATCTTCTCCACAGGAGAATTTTGTTTTAGCAAGAAGGGGTTTTCCTTAACGATTTGTTTTGTTGGATTCTTTAAATCATAATATTTCTGTAAGCTTCAGACTTTTTCACTCATAAGTAAACTGTTATTACTAAAAAAACACTGAGTCCTTTTTGACAGTGGAGTAAAATGAATAAAATCTATGTTTTTACGGAAATGAAATGTCATCTCATAAATTTTTTTCAGAGAACCAAGTGGTTCTACAATACAGAAGCATTTGTAGATATAGATGCCCTGATAGCTGTGAATATTATTTATGAAAAGTTTAGAAAATTGACTAAGTACTTATATACATATATCAATTTTAGTGTCTGTATTTTGTAGTTTCTGTAGATACTGGCCCTTTGTTACACCCCACTGGAGCTGATAAAAAAATAAAAATAATTTTAATAAAGAATGTCAGTGCTCTCTTCTCAAACAGTTCTCTTCTTTCCTGCTCATGCTCAGCTCTACCTTTCCCAAAAAGGGAGTTTCTTATAATTTTCCACTTAGAATATCTATAATGTTACTATTTGTATTGGTTACTGTGGTATTTTTAATGTTTCTTGTGTCCTGCAGGTATTCTTGGCATCACCAGCTAAGGGAATTTAAAAGCGAATACCGAGTTGTAGCCCTGGATTTGAGAGGCTATGGAGAAACAGATGCTCCCATTCATCGAGAGCATTATAAATTGGACTTTTTAATTACAGATATAAAGGATATTTTAGACTCATTAGGTAGGTTACATTAAAAAACAATATTAATTATGTTTAAGGGACTAACATTCAAGAAATTGTGAATTGATAACCTTATTTCTTGGGAGGATGCATTTTTCACCTTTCTGAGTTATTATCTGGATCCTGTCCATGATTTTGGGTATACAGACCAAAATACTAATAAATACAGGGAATTTAAAATAATACCTCCAGAGTACTTGTTCAGTCCACCAGCCAGGAGTGACTTTGAAAATTTGTTTTTTAAACTAGACCAAATATTACTATTTATTATTTTCAGAACTAATTTTTGGAAATTTGAGGGTTTGTTTTTTTTTTTTTTTAATTTTTAGAGGTGGGGAGGGAGGGAGAAAGAGAAACATCAATGTGTGGTTGCATCTCACACGCCCCCTACTGGCGACCTGGCCTGCAACCCAGGTATGTGCCCTGACTGGGAATCGAATCAGTGACCCTTTGGTTCCCAGTCTGGCACCCACAACATCCACACCAGCCACGGCAGAAATTTGAGTCTTACACTCAGAAAATTTTTCTCCAGAACCCACACAAAAATATTCATTTCAAAATGTTACAAGATGCAAAAGCACTTGAATTATCTTTCCTGTATTGATCAGTTAGTGCCACAGTAATATTATGTAACAAACCACCCCATACTCAATGGCATACAGCCATACCCATTTATTCCTATACTCATGAATCTACAGATCAACTGTAGGCTGTACACCTCTGGGTTTTTTCTTCAGGCTGACCTGTAGCTCCAGCTGACACTGGCTTCTCACTGTGAGTTGGGTTAGAGCCCAAGCTAAAGGGGAGTAGCTACCTAAGGGAAGCTTTTTTTCCTGGCAGTGGTAGAAATGGCAAGAGGGTGAGCTCAGCTGCACACACATATTTTAGGTCTCTACTAGCTGCCCACTGGCCAAAGCAAGTCATATGGCTGAGCCCACAATCAAGTCATACACCCACTGTAAGAACAAAGCAAATCACATGGTCCAGGCTAATATCAGAGGGGCAGCAAAGTACACTCCTTCTGTGGCAGTGGGGATAAGGGGAGAGTAAATGTTTTTTTAACAACAGTCCTATTCACTACATTCCTTCTAACTAAAGCCCAGCTGTTACCTTTAGTATGTTAATGGAGCCAGTACAGTGAGAAATCCATGAAATCAAATTCAAGCCCCTTTCTATAATAATCTAATGAGAGCATAGATCAGGTCAAATTCTTAGAGGAGAAAAAAAATGGATGAGCCTGGGAGTGTCAATGCAGTGTTGTCATTTAGTCTGATTACAGGAAAATAGGCTCAGTGACACTGATTGCCAAAAGTCATATTTCATTCATATTTTGTGGTAATTCAGCGAGACCTGGCTTAAATTTGTCATTATGCAATTTTCTTGGCAAATTAATAACATAAACAAGATGTTTCTGTGTGTGTGTATAGTGGTGGGTGATGGTGAAAACTACTTACTTGAAAAAACTAATTTTTAGTACTGTAGGAATAAATTACAAATTAATCTTATCCATTCATACAAAGGAAATCCTGAAGGAATCACTACTAATCAATATTTTAACCTAACTTATCATAATGATTACATGAAATGAAACTTGTTTATAATTGGTACAATAATTAAGACTTTCCACTAGTTCCATTTGACTTTACAGTTCCAGATTAGCGATATTTTAGCCCTGGCCAGTGTGGCTCAGTTGGTTGGAGCATCATCCCATAAACCAAAAAGGTTCAGGTTCAATCCCCATTCAGGGCACATACCTAGGTTGCAGGTTCAATCCCCCATCAGGGCATGTACAGGAGGCAACTAGTCAATGTTTTCTCTCCCCTACCCTCTCTAAAAGCAATGAAAAAAACAAGCTTGGGTGAGGATAAAAAATAGAATTAGTTGTATTTCACTGTGTTGAGTGGTAACATTGAATCTGTGACATTAGGGAGAAAATAGATGCTTCTTTGAAATAAAGATTTACCAGTTGGATATAGATGGGACATTTATGATTTTATTGTAACTAAAATTTTTCCAGCATTCAAAAATAACTTAAATAACTCTTGCTTATAACCTAATTATACGTAGCCTTAATCATGGTTTCCAAACTATTTCAGCTGTGTCTGTATATACACACACACACACACACACTCATTCCTCAGAGAGATTCTGAATTTGTAGGTCTCAAGTGGAGCCTGGGCACCTAACTTTTCTAAAAAGCTACCTAGGTGTTTCAGACATACCAGTTTTGGGAATAAACTCTGTATCCACACAAAGTGCATAATTAAGGGAGAATAGTGGAATGATTAGTTTCAGAAGTATACCTATTTTATGTGAGTTAATGATGCATCCACCTGTTTCTTTTCAATGATGTCAACATTTATTTCTTGACTACAGGATATAACAAATGTGTTCTTATTGGCCATGACTGGGGCGGCATGATTGCTTGGCTAATTGCCATCTGTTATCCGGAAATGGTGATGAAGCTTATTGTTATTAACTTCCCTCATCCAAATGTATTTACAGGTGAGTTTAAATTTTCATTAGAGCATCTTTGCCAACATGACAATTCACCATTGTCACTGACACTTTGGATTAAAACAGCAAAATTTGATTAACATAACATTTTTAAAGTTAAATGACTAAAATATGATATTAACACATGAAAGTATGCTTTGAACGCTTAATATTTAAAGAGTCTAAGAAACAGTAACTTCATATTTGCTTGCATAATTTTATTTCTTTTTAGAAAACATTTTACTGCTAACTTGGGGAGTGATAAAGGGGGAAAATGCAATAACATTACTTTGATGGGAATGTATTTTGACAGCCTAGAAATAACTCTTGCCTGACAGCTTTGACTATCAAAAATGGCAGTATTTTTTAAAAGCAGTAGCTCTCAAATGTTTAGGCTCAGGGCTACTTTATATCGTAAAAATTATTAAACACCCATTGAGCTTTGTTTATATGAGTTATATCTATAAATATTCACTGTATTGGAAATTTAAAATGAGAAATTTTTTAAATTTGTGTATTAATTTATCAAAAACATAACTCCAGTACATGTAACATAACATTTTAATGAAAACTAGCTACATCCTTCAAAACAAAATTTTACTGAAAATAGGGTCATCATTTTACATATTTGCAAACCTCTTCAATTTTTTGGCTTAATAGAAGGTAGCTGAATTCTCAGCTCTGCTTCTGCATTCAATCTGTTGCAATATGTTGTTTGAATTGAAGTGTATGAAGAAATCTGACTCACACAGATTTGTAATTGGAAAAGGGAGGAGTCATTTAATAGCCTTTTCAGATAACTGGATTTTCTTCTTTAATACTACATCAAACTCGAATTGGTAGTTTTTTTAAATGTTAGTAACAACGTGAACTCTGATATCATATTAATGAACTTTTTGTACTCTGTTATGTTAAAATCCATTGGTCTCTCTAGCACTTTGAATGGATTTTTCTACCTATGTATCATTTGTCATCAGAATGCATTGGAAGATATTGGTTGAGTTATGCAGATCTTCCATAATTTGACACATTTCATTATATATCAAAGAATCACATTCATTAATATCACCCCAATTTTATTTTTTTAAACGCTGTTGTATTCCAAAACCAGGAAGCTCACAGTAGTAGATACAAGTTTCCAAAATTCTAATTTGCAGTTGAAAGTTTGAATTTTATCATTGGCAACAAAAACTGTTGACTTTTTTCCCTCAAGTGAAAGCCTTGCTTTGTTCATTTTCAAGAGTCTATATGCCAAATATCCAGGACTTACTGATGATGGTTTGTTAGTCATCCTTTCAAGTAAAAGTGGTGTCCATCAAAAATATGCATCTAATTCACTTATCATCTCAAACACTTGCAGAAGTGCTTTTCCTCATGACAACCATTGTATTGGGTGTGCAACAGAACTGCTTTATGTATACTTTCTATTTCATCACAATTTTAAAAAGACATGTACTCAAAGGTTGAAATATAATAAAATTAATAATTTTAGCTATCTCATCAAGGACATTACTAAGTGAAGCTGGCATTTAATTTGACATATTTGTTTAGTGCAAGGATGTGCTAGTGAAGAATACGATGACTATCAGTATTGTTTCATGTCACTGCCTTGATTTGTGCTCAGGCAGCTAATGGTTTTATCTGTCATTGCTTTTGTACCATCAGTGCAAATGTCAACCAAATGAGAAAAGCTAATAATGTCTTATTTTTCTTGTGAAATAATTTTGAACATATAGATTCCTTAAAAAGGTCTTCAGGATTCGCAGGGGTGTACATGGACTCTACTTTGAGAACCTCTTCGATAAATGGAACTCATAAAATCTTCAGTGACTGAAGGCCTGTGAACAATGGGCAGGAACATTTTTATTTGGTTTTGGCAGTAATCATAATTTTGTCCTGTTTAACTACCCTTGTCAAGTTTTCTAGGGTTCAGGTACTGCTACAACACACAGCAGCCTCTGGGGAACAAAAAATTCAAAACAACACATTTCTGTTTCTTCCTCAAAATTGAGCGAGTAAGGGAGAAAGGGACCATGACTGTTAAATATTGTAAGTGCAAGAGTTGAATTTTAGATATATACCCATTTGACCTATGTCTGTTGGGGCAATAGGATGGATTCTTAGGGTTCAAATATCAAAATGAGATACATCATGTTTTTCTCAGTTCCATTAGTCAGCAGAAGTCATGCTACATCCTTGCTCAATTGATCAGGCCCACAGAATAAATGCTGTTTGGACAAACTGTAATTGGTCATTTCAGCAAAAGCATACTTGGAGTACTTCTGAAACTATCTTATCGATAATGGGTTCAACCCTAGTCAGGTCAACATGGGATCTTCAAGTAATGGGCTATGTTTTATCTTTAATTGTATTGATATCTCTTCATGAAGGCTGAAAAATCTTGCCCAATGATGACAGGATTCCACTTATCTGAGAATATGCACATTTCATATGTATGATTTCATTACTTACCAGTTTAAAACTTGAGTGTCTTCCCAAAGCATTTTAAATCCTTATCATTTGGCCCTACCTGACCGTGCCTCTGCTTTTCTTTGTGACCATTTCATGCCACTTCCTCTCCTCATTCATTACATACCAGCTGCATTAGCCACCTTCTGCTTCTTGAGTGTGCCAGGCCCAGGAATTTCTGTTCCTGGATGCTCTTCCTAAATCTTTGCATGGCTGATTCCTTCTTACCATTCAGGCCTCAGCCCAGAGAAGCCTATCCTGACAACCTCTACTAAATAATAGCCCCTTCACACCACCTAACCATCACTCTTAATTGGATTACTTTGTTTTGTTTTCTTTATGGCATTATTGCTATCAAAATGATCTTTTAAGTATTCACTGCTTATTTATTGTATAAGTTAATGAGAACACCTTTTGTCTTGTTCACAGCTAAACCCCCTCAAACACAGTAGATATTCAAATATTAATTGAATGAATGAATTTTCTGGATTTATGAGTGAATTTATAGGAAACACTTTCTTTTCTGTTGAAGTCAAATGGATAAGGTATTCAAGTCAACCAATAAGGAAAATCTTTTAAACAACAGAAAATCATCTCCCTATGTAACCCTAGGAAAAGTGTTAAGTCACTGACCACATCTTAAAAGATGGCAGTGTGTTAAGATTTCCTGTTCCTTTCTGAGTCAAGACTTCATAAAGCAGAACTTTCATTTTATTTAAAGTGCTATAAATTTTCTAAACACCAGAAATACCCATAATAAAATATAAGAACATAGAAATTGTTCCAAAGAGAAATGCACAGAAATCCTCTTTATAGATTCTTTTATGGGATTGTCTCAAAGGTGAAATTGCCTTAAAAAGAAGTTCTTTCAATAGTAAGTAATTTATACTCCTTGGATAAGGTCTAACATGACATTTTAATTTCAGAATATATTTTACGACATCCTGCCCAGCTGTTCAAATCCAGCTATTATTACTTCTTCCAAATACCATGGTTCCCAGAATTTATGTTCTCGATAAATGATTTCAAGGTACGTCAAACATAGTGATGGATGTTAACCAGTGCTTATTGTGGTGATCATTTTGCAATGTATACAATATCAAATCATTATGCTGACACCTGAAACTAACACTAATGTTATAAGTCAATTATACTGCAATTAAAAAAAAAAAAGACTCGTTCCCCAAGAGAATGACAAAATTAGGAAGTTAAAAACAAAGATATACTGAAGCACTGAAAAAAAAAAATAAGAAAACAAATGGTCCCACTTACTTTGTTTTGCTTTGTTTTAAACAATTACTTATTGTACCTCTGCTATATGTTATGCACTGTTAGTCATTTCCTCCTATGCAAAAATAGGAAATATTTTAAATTAAATTCCAAAACTTAAGAAAAATAGACAAATACTAAAACTTAATAAATGCTTCTAAAGCCTCATCTGTAGGCTTACTTATTTTTAAAATCTGTGTTTGTATATTTGAATGCCAGGCTGTTCAATTTTTTTGAGAGCCTGTTCCCCTGGGCATACCTCTTTTTAGAGAACATTCCATGGGGAAATAAGGTAATATGAATGCCAGGTGAGAGAGTTGGACAGCAGCAGAAGTGGAAGCCCGTGGAGGTAAACAAAACCCTAAAACAAAGTAAGCATGCCTATCCAAAGATTTCCTAACAACCTTTCACCAAGTAATTTTAGTACAACTTGATTATCATTGGCTAGGTCCTTTATTCCATTAGGGTGTACAAAATGGTGATTTTTAAATTCTATCATTCTCTCTGCTTTTATTAACTGGAATTCTATAAAGAAGAATTTTCCGTTTGTACTATTTGTTTATTCTGAAATACAATTCACACAAGAATGTGAGGATATATACTTCTTCTTTCCTTTTATTAAACAACATCCCAGAGTAATGGGCTGGTGCCTTAGAAATGAGGGTTTTTGCATATCATTGAGCTCATGAAGTTTTTAAGAAAAAAAATTTAGTGTGTATCCATCAATTACAGTCATTATTCTTGTTGGTGCCAAATTTATCCCATAGTAGGAAAGTGGAAACCCTTTCAGGTTGGCTCCTGTGTCCTTTTGAAAGAAGCCCTTAGTCAGTGATAGCTTGCTTCTTTAATGACCTAGGTTTAGCTTTTCGTTTCTGCCCCAGCTCTGGAAGCAGTCATTTAGCAAAGGAACTCTGGCTCCTATTAGTAGAAAATGGTATTTAGAGACCACAACCTGCGTGTCCAGGTGATTGTTATTTTACTGGGTTTTCATTGATTCTATAGCTTTCCATTGAACCAAATTTGGACACACAATCATGAGTTCTTATATTTCCAAAGCAGATTGAACACCGCAGTGTTTTTAGTTAACATCTATGATTTTATATGCAACATTCATATGGTTTCAAGTCAAAACTCTAAAACAAGGTACTTTCAGAGAGGTTTCGCTTATATATTGGTTTCCTCTCTCTGTTTCCTCCCTCTCCCACAGAAAACCATTTTAATTAGTTTTTGTTTCATCTTTTTATTCTTTCTTTTTAAAATATAAGCAAATATATATATATATATATTTATCTCCCCCTTCTTACAAAAAAGATAATATACTATAAACACTGCTTCCCAACCTTGCTTTTTTCCCTCTTAATATCTCCTTGGAGATCACTTCATTTTAGCATATATATTACCTTTAACTTTTTTTGAAATACTAAGAACATATAATACACCACTGTGTGGCTTAACTGTAGTTTATTCAACTAATCTCCCACTGATGGACATTTGATTTGTTTCCAGTCTTTTTTTTATTATTATTACAAATAATATTGCAGTTAATCACCTCATACATATGGGATTTCATATTTTTGCAAGTGTGTTTTTGGGTTGAGGGATCTGCATTTTGAATAAGAATCCCAATAATTCTGATGCAGGTGGTTTAGATCCACACTTTGAGAAATGCTGGTACAGAGCACTGTTTTTCAAGTTGTGGGTGGAGAATCCATTAGTGAGAAATGAAATCAATTTAGTGGCTTGCAATTTGAATTTTTAAAAATAAAGTAGAACAGAATTGAATTGAAAATAGCAGTGCACACTATAATAAGAGTAAGAAATAGTTCTTTAAAACTTTTGTTTCAGAAATATATATGTAAAAGTATGACCTAGATCATGATATAAAATGTGTTTGTTGCTCTGAGTGGTGATTGAAAAAAGTTCAGACAACTTTAGGGGGAGAATTGGTTGTCAGTAAATGGATGAACTACTGTTAGCTGGAGTATTGAGGAAGACTTTAGGATTGGGATGGTAGTTGACGTTGGCTGTGTAGAATGTGAATTGGCGCCAGGAAGACAGGACGCTTTTCATAAAGGTGAAGTGTGCATGGGATATTAGAAGGGAATATCAGAAGTAAAGCCATTAAAGCAGAAATATATAAAATGTTTTTCTAAACAATGAGGTCTCCAACCTCTGTAGAACAGGAATGAGGAGTTGTCAATGCACATTGACCATCATTCTCCTTCAAAGGCAAAGATTGAGTATATTATTAGGTAACAATGGTTTTAATTATTCTCTTTCACTTAAACTAGGCTTTGAAACATCTGTTTACCAGTCATAGCACTGGCATTGGAAGAAAAGGATGTCGATTAACAACAGAAGATCTCGAAGCTCATATTTATGTATTTTCCCAGCCTGGAGCATTAAGTGGTCCAATTAACCATTACCGAAATATCTTCAGGTCAGTATAATTTCTTTTTAGTTAAATAAAATATTCATTTCCTAAAGAGCCAATACTCTATTTTTAATATTATATTCACCACTTATCAAACTCAAATTAAGTATTTTGATTTAGTAAGTTGAATAATATGTTTTATGGAAAATTTCAAACACTGGAAGAGTAGAGAGAATAATATAATGGATCCCAATATAGTTGTCACTAGTTTTATCCATAACTCTATTCCCTTCATCTCTCTCTTGAGATTATTTGAATAGGTGTCTATTTTAGTTATGTTTTTAATGATCATTTATTCATTCAAGAAATACTTATTAAGCACTCTTTGTGTTATCACTATGCCAGAACTGAGGGTATAGTAGTGAGCAGAACTAGACAAGGTCCCTGAACTCATAAAACAGTGGGGGAAAGAGACATCAAGCAAACATTCATAATAATGAATATATGGTTATAAACTAACATAAAGACTTTGAAGTAAGGGATGAGAACTGAAGAAATTATGTTTGAACAAAGAAATAAAGGATGAGTTAAGTATTGACTAGACCAAGTTCATAGTAGGGTAACTGGCATTACAGAGAAAGGGAAACAGCTTGGGCGAAAGCTGTGTGGGAATATGGAGGGTTGTAGTGTTAAGTAACACAGTGAGGGCCACTGTGGCTGGCATATAGAAAGTGAGAGTGGGGAGAAGAGAATAGAGTGAGTCTGGGTCTGAGAGGCAGGCAGCGTTGGTCTCACAAAGCCAAGTAGAATGTATTAAAGACTTAATAGCCATGCATGTAAAGCCAGTGAATGAAAATTTCAAGCAGAAAAGAAAAATGATTCAATTTGTATTTGATCAAATTCACCCATTATGGAGAAGGTACTGGAGGAATGAATGTGGTGAACCAGTGGGCTAAAGATGATGGCAGCTTGAACTAGTTTGAAAGCAGTGAAGATGGGGAGAGTGGGTAGATTTAAGAGATATTTAAGAGGTAAAATTGACAGGGGCTGGGGATGAGTTGGGTCGGGGGATGAAAAGAGAGATGTCAAGGATGGCTCCTGGATGTGTGGAATGAGCAACCATATGAATAGTCACACCATTCGCTGAAATAGAGAACATTAGCAGGGAACTACTTTTGAGGAAGGTCATGAATTTTATTGATCTTAAACTAATTGAATTTGAGGTGGTGCCTTAGACATTCAAATAGGTAGTTGGATACTAGGGTCTGGAACTCAGGAGAGAATCTGGGATGAAGACATGTAAAATCTTAGAATCACGGACAGAGACAACTCAAGCTTTCATTTCAGAAGATACTACCAAGGGAGAGAGTATAGAGTGAAAAGTAAGACATGGAGGCTTGTCTGTTTGGGTTTGGACTCCAGATTGGAGAAAAAGAATATCCTTTGAGAATTGGGAACTATAGCCTGCCTTGAAAAGGTGTAGGAGATTGAATTTATGGTACCTCCATAATATTGGAATTCTTGGGGGAAATATATTTTTACAAATGGTCTTAAGTTAGTAACATTCCCTAGGAAGCCTGGCAGAAACAAACAAGCAAGCAAAAAGCCTTTCTGGAGGATACATCTCTGCTCAGAGTCACACTATTCCCAGAAATAAAGTTCCCTGAAGATGATGAGTCCATAATCCAAATTACCCAAAATACCAGTACGCCATTAATGAGTCAGAATCTAATTGCAGCAGAACTCCTACAAATTTCAAATAATAGAACTAACATAATATAAAGCATGTTTAAACCACTAAATACATGAAAGAATAAAAAATATGAGAAAAGAATATGATAATATCAATACAAACCAGAGAGATCTTAAAAAGAACTTCTAGAAATGAAAAATATAGTTATTGAAATCTAAAATTCCATAAGGGAGTTAAATAGCAGATCAAATTAAAGAGAATTATGAGTTGTAAGACAGATTTTCCAAAAAATTACCTAAAATGTAGCTAGAGATAAAGAAGTAAAAAATATTTTTAAAAAGGTCATATTTGACATGAAAGATAGAATTATAGGTACATAGATAGATAATTAGAAATAATTCATATATATCATATATGCGAAGAAGTTTTTCTAGTGAAATAATATATAGAAATAGAATATATTATTTTGAAACTAGTAGAAGGGGACAGGAAAACTATCAATTAAAAAAAAAGAAAGGAGAAAAGAGAATCAAAGCAGGGTAAATAGGAAGCACAAATTAGAGGACAATAACAATGTCAATATATCACTATGCTTAATAAATATTAATGTATTAAACTTGCCAGTTTAAAACAGAAAATATCAATTGGATTTAGTAACAATTAAAACATAAGGACATACAAAGGTTGAAAGTAAATGTATGGAAAAAAGTTATAGTGGTTGCTATTTTAAATAAAACAAAATCTCTCAAACTTTTTTGAATATAGAATCCAAGGGGAGTCAAGAGATTGTATGAGGGGAGAAGAGGAAAATCCACGCTTTCTCTTTGACAAACAAGACTTCTATATCTATATCTATATCTATATCTATATCTATATCTATATCTATATCTATATCTATATCTATATCTCTTATCTATATCTATGTCTATAGACAAAGATACACATTATATTTGACATAAACATTTGGCAAAATAGAGATTTTAATTTAAAAGGTATTTGTAGGTAATAATTTATCAAACATGGCATGATTAGAAAGGCAGATAGACACTGCAGAGGCTGTATACAGCTTACATTTTATAGGATATAGCAACACTGTCTGAAGTCCATTTTATTTTTTGTTTTTGTTTTTTAAAAATAACATTTGTAAACACAATTATATGAGAAAATAGAATGACACATTTTCCTACAAGTCTAAATTTGGACAGAAGACAGGAATGATAGTTTTAAATGTTCTCAATTTATCCCGTTACCAGAGCTAGCTTTGCAATGCAAAACAGTATGTTTTAAGTAGCTCTCGGGAAGGAGGGAAATTACTTTCATCTTGCTGAGATTCCTTAACTGGCAATTTGTTCATTAGAAGGACCTGCATTCCCAAGAGTAAGCTCCAGAATCCTGTTAATTAGCATGGAGAGGAGGGAAAAAAAGCAGGCCTGTGAAGATTGAAACTCACCATTTTATATAAAAGCAAAGGCAGTTTTTGCCTAGATTGTTGTAAGTTAAATTTAGCTGGGCAAAGGTCATATCAGACCTTCTCAAAGTTCAACTGACTTCCTCTAACCATTCTTTATGTAGGGTAGTCAAAATCAAGTACATCATTTAAAACAGAGTTCTACAATATATAATGACTACAAATAAACTATACTACATTATATTCAGACATGAAAACCACCCTTATTATCACACTAAGATTCCCCAGGACTACAGCCTCATCAAAGGACTTTACAAAATTTGAAGCTAAGGAGTCAAAATGATCTAGGAATTTGACTAGCAATAGGACCTAGCCTGCAAAAAGATGAATAAGTATAAACTTATAACAAAGCATCAAATAATATAGCAAAAACTGACAGACCTGCGAGGAAATATAAAAATCCACAATTACTCTTGGACATTTTAATCTACCTCTCATTAAGCTGATTAAACAGAAAAAAGGTAAAAAGGATATAGAAAATCTGAACAACCCAATCAGATCCTTGATCTGATGAACAAGTCTAGAGTCCTGTACCCAACAATTAGAACATATACAATATATTTATACACATACAAATGTTTACAAAGATTGATTAAATAGTGTATTACAAAGCAAATATTAACTAATAACAAAGGGTTAATATAATATAGATTATGTTCTCTGTACACAATGCAATTAGAAAAGATTGAAATTAGTGAACTAACAGTTCAATTCAGGAAGTTAGAAAAGCAACATATAAACAAAATAAAGTAGAAGGAAATAATTTAAATTTGATAAAAAGCAGAAGTTAATACCATTAAAAATAAAAATACAGTAGAGAAAAATCAAAGAAACCAAAAGCAAATTCTTTGAATACTATTAACAGAGATCAATTTTTGGCAATATTGATAAAAAAAAGATGGCACAAATAAACAATATTAGGAGGTATAAGGTAAGCATAACTATAAACATAAGAGACAAAATATAAAACTAAGGTTAACAAATTTGAGAACTTTGATAAAATGAGCTATTTTTAAGAAAAACATAACACCCAAAACTGACTCAAGAAGAATTAGAAAACCTGAATAGATAGCCATTAAAGAAATTGGTTTATTAATTTAAAGCAATTTGTCTAAAAAAACACATACACACACAAATACACACCATCACAGATGGGCCTAGATGGTTTTACAGGTTCTACTACAGAAAAGTCCATTCTTAAAAGGAATCTTTCAGACATTATAAAAAGAAAGTATAGGCTTCAGCTCATTCTATACGACTAGTATAACTTGTATGCCAAAACAAGACAAGGATTGTATAGAACAGGAAAATTATTGCTAAAATTAAATTATAAATATAGATCCATAAATTCAAACTGAATACAGCATGTATTAAAAATTAAACCAAATTTAGTTTTAAGTATCCATTAATTTAATTCACCACATTAACAATTAAAGGGTTAATTTACTTTACCACATTAACAGATTTAATGAATGGAAAATATGATCATCTAAACACAGAAAAGCATTTGATAAAGTATTGCAGACATTCATGCAACAACTCTTAGTGATTTAGAATTAGAGGATTTAAGAGTGGACCTCAGGCCAGGTAAACTTGAATCTCCTGAAGGGATATTTCTGGGAAACTGACCTTAGTTTTACTCAATTGTCCAAGAAAAAATGAGATATTGATGGTGTTTTGTGCTGCTTATTTGCTCCTGGAGAGCTGGTAGGCACATTAAAAAGATATTCCAGGAGTCAAGAACAAGAAGACAAAATGGAGATTTTTTTTTAAAAAAACCTCCATTAAAAGGACAAAATACTTTATAGTATTGTCCATAGCTGTATTTCCATAGGAAACTGGGGGATTTAGGAAGTCCTACCTCTTCCTTAGAGAATAACATATTATCTCCTGCTTTATAAAACC